GTTGATGTGTGCTAATGCTAGCGGCGATTGCAAATTGAAGCCTTTATTTGTGTATCACTCTGAAACTCCCAGAGTGTTCAGGAAAAACTCTGTCCTCAAGGCTAATTTGTGTGTGCTGTGGAGGGCAAACAGTAAGGCATTGGTCACTATGAACTTTTTCTATGACTGGTTACACCATGCATTAGCCCCCACTGTGAAAAATTACCTAATTGAAAAGAAATTAGACCTTAATTAGACACTAACACCATCCACACTCCCCTCCTCCCATCCCATCAATCATCACCAGATCTTCATTAAAGTTAAGTGTCAATTATTCTATTGTTATTGTTGTTATTGTAATTATTCTATTGCATTAAACTTAATATTTCATGTGGTAATTTTTTTTTTTTCATACTTTTGGGTGTCTTGCACAGATTAATTTGATTTCCATTATTTCTTATGAAGAAAGTTGATTCGCTTTTCAATATTTTCGGTATTCGATGAGCTCTCAGGAACGGATTAATATCGAATACCGGGGTCCACTGTAATTTTGTGCGTGTTATAAGACCAAAAGAAAAAAATTTAAGACCAGTACTTACTGAGATATAATACCACGAAGTTGGTGCTGGATGCTCAAATAACAGCAACATTGAGTCCTGCCTCTTGCAGAAATGTTGCCGATATAACTTTTTTCTTGTTTTTATTTTAATTCATATAATTTTTATGTTCTGATAATTACAATCTATAATAGTTCTTGTGATTTCAAAGCCAATCTTTGTTCTGACACTAATATTAGGTACTGAAATAGCACTCAAATGGTCACAATCACACCAGCAGGTGTACATTTTCACCTTCCTTGGTCATTTACTATTGTCTAGAAATATATACAAAGTATTTATAGGCCTCAATAATGTTTTAGACATGCTGAAGTATATATATGAAACTTCTTGAAGCATGGTATTTATGACAAGTGTTGCTAAACTGCTGACAGGGTAAGCAGTGGAGTGACACCATGATAATGCACTGCTGCAGGGAACTCTGGCTATATTTGTTTTCAATGTTACACACAAACATGTATGCCTGCCTATCTGTATCTGTCTGTCTGTCTAGCTCTGCTTATCTGTCTGCCTGTGTGTGTGTGTGTCTGTCTTTCTGTCTGCCTGTGTGTGTGTCTTTCTTTCTGTCTGCCTGTGTGTGTCTGTCAATCTTGTCTCTCAGTCTTAGAGAGCGGCTCATAAACCAACAGGTATTACACACGATGCAGTAGTCACGTCTGATTCCCGATGAAGTGAAAATGCGTATTACTTGCCACTAAGTTGCCAGTCATGCTTATTGTGTCTTATATCTACAAGCACTGTATAGCACTTTGCCTGGAATTTTTGGGTTATCCTAGGCAATTTACACTGTATAATAACTGTACTTATGTGTACATGTGAGAGGGGGACAGAGATAGACAGAGAGATAGACAGACAGATACAGACACACAGCCAGTGGTATAAAAAATGAAAGGATGTTGCACAAATGTTACACATGGGTTATTATCGAGGTTTTTTTTATATTTCCTCAACCACTTGTTGCCACATCCATCACTTTCCTCTTAAAAGGGGAGTGTTAATACAACATGACATCAGTGAATCCCTGGTGTTTGCCACGCTATTTGCTCCAGCTGGCGCTCAATTGAACTGGTGCTCCCACAAGGTACTAAGTGGTTCCACTTTTTTTTAATACCATGCACAATGAGTGTTAAGACCCATTCTATACTGACCAGGCATCTTAGGCCAATCATGCTAAAGTTAGAGGCAGGAAAAACAAAACGCTGATCTACATTTGGAGTCTTAGTGGTACAAATGTAGGTCTACGTTTGGACAGTTTAAGGGTTAATATAATGATTAAATATTTTACCATTAAAACATTCTAATCATTAGTTTTATCAATTCAACTTTTCAACCAAAATCTGGAACAAAAAAAGTGGATAATGTAATTTTTTATTAAAATTTGTAAAAAAATTTTACACAGGAAACAGTTTTTCATTGATATTTTTACAAAGGAAATTCAAAAATATAATTAAATATTTTTACAAAAGAACTCTTACAATGTATTTTGGGATATTTTTACAAAAGCACTAAATTTCCCCAATGGAAATAAGTCACTCTGTCTGACTTTTTGGGTTATCCCAGGTTCTCTACACATATACTGCTGTGTATGATCTATGTAACTGTATCTGTGTATACCTGAATAAACTTACATAATTACTTAATCCTTTCAGGGTTTCTGATGTACTAGTACGGCTTATGCATCAGGGTTATCGACATTCTAGTATGCCTAAATTCTAGCGCCTTCAAATCTAGTGAGAGAAAGCTGGTAGGACTACATATTAGAGAATGGGTCTATATGGTCAGTGTGCGCAGTATAAAAAAAAATCCTGCAGCACACAGTGCGTAACGAGAAAAAAAAAACTACCATTTTTTTGGTTTAAAACAGTGACTTTGCAGTGTATTTTCATATGGTATTTATGGTTGTATTCTAGTTTTCCTGGTCTCAATTTATAGAATAGAAGACATATTACAGAAATTGAGATGATTTTGATTGGTTTCACAATGAAAAATACCTTGAAATTGAGCTCAAAGTAGCAGAAATGTTTGATTTTTGACAAAGTTCAAAAGTAAACAAGTCATGCCACGCGTCCAATACACGTCAACTGGCGAGTCTAATATTCTTTCACAAGTGCACTGATATTATTTATACCATTTCTACACTAATGGAGTAGTCTGCATAACAATAAATCTTTATTTTTTGCGAGAATAAAAATTCAAAGTGGAAAGCAAAAGAAATGTAAGAAGGCCCTGGGGACGTGACTAATGAACAGAGGAAATGTTATTTTAGTGCCAGGAATGCCTTGTTTATTCTGGACCCTATTTGGAAATTGGCATCTTTTGAAATTTGTGGTAAATTGGGAAAAGATAAATTTCTGACCACTTTATTGCTAGTTGAATTTCAGTAAATGGTAGGTTTTTCATACTCATTCATGAAAAAATAGAGACATTCAGAATTGATTATGTTTTTGTGATTGTTTCCAATGAAAACCCATACCTGGAAATTGAGCTCAAAAAGTAGCAGAAATGTTCGATATTTGACAGAAGTTAAAAGTAACACAAGTCATGCACAATCCGTACATTCCGTCAATGCATGTCATACTTCTTTACAAGTGCATGTATTATTTGATACCAATTTCTACTAATCTTTGTCTTAAAAAAAATTCTTTATTTTTTTTTCGAAAAAATTTTCAGACTGGAACAAATGAACGTAAGAAGGGCCCTGGGACGACTAATGAAAGAGGAATGTTATTTTAGTCCAGAATGCTTTGTTTATTGACCTATTTGGAAATTGCATCTTTTGAAATTGTGTGAATTTGGGAAATTGATAATTTTGCACTTTATTGCATAAGTTGAAATCGTTAAATGGGTGTTTTCATATCTTATAGAAAAATGGCAGTTCTAGTGGAACAGTATGATTTTTGTCGTTTCCAGTAAACTTCAGGTACACTGGAATTGACCGAAATAGGTCAAAGTCGGAATTTGGAATGAGATAAACAAGTCGAGACACTAACTTCAGATAGCATAATTCAGTAATTTTCCACAAATTACATACTTTTGTCTGTCATTATGTTGGGAAAAATTCTCATCTTGATTCAAGAAAAAATAATTTTTTTTTTTATCGAAAAATTTTGACTAGAGCAAGTAGGAGAGGGCTCTCGACCCTGAAGGTTAACTTTTACAATAAATTTTAGTTTTTACAAAAGAAACTTTACAATGTATTTGATTTATTGTTTATAAAAGAAAGACATACAATAAATTCTAAGATAATATTATTAAATAATATATTCAAGATGTCCTTAAATTATAACTGAGATAAGAAAACTAAACTGATGTCTTTTCATGATTATAATACAAGAAGAATTGTACTTTAAATTATTTTGAGAAACAATAACTGCATCTGAATCAAGAAAAATAATTTGTAAGAAACAATTTAAAAGCAGACGTACAGATTATTCCCAAAATATGAATAAAAAACACTACTGACAGCTTATTTCAAAACAAAAATTCAATACAACAACAATACAGTTGATTGAACCAGAGCAAGACAAATACATACTACAACAATATTACCCCTGAGTATGACAAATACATATACAACATTATACCCCTGAGTAAGACAATCTACAACAATTACTACCCCTGAGTAAGACAACACTACAGCAATTACTATCTCTGAGTAAGACAACACTAAACAATTACTACCCCTGAATAAGCAACACTACAACAATTACTACCCTGAGTAACAACATAAACAATTACTACCCTGAGTAAGACAACACTACAATGATTACTACCCCTGAGTAAGACAACACTACAACAGTTACTACCCCTGAGTAAGACAACACTACAACGATTATTACCCCTGAGTAAGACAACACTACAACATTACTACCCTGAGTAAGACAACATTACAACAGTTACTACCCCTGAGTAAGACAACACTACAACAGATTACTACCCCTGAGTAAGACAACACTACAACAATTACTACCCCTGAGTAAGACAACATACAACGATTACTACCCTGAGTAAACAACACTACAACAATTACTACCCCTGAGTAAGACAACACTACAACAGTTACTACCCCTGAGTAAGACAACACTACAACAATTACTACCCCTGAGTATCACTACAACAATTACTACCCCTGAGTAAGACAACATTACAACAGTTACTACCCCTGAGTAAGACAACACTACAACAATTACTACCCCTGAGTAAGACAACACTACAACAGTTACTACCCCTGAGTAAGACAACATTACAACAGTTACTACCCCTGAGTAAGACAACACTACAACAATTACTACCCCTGAGTAAGACAACACTACAACAATTACTACCCCTGAGTAAGACAACACTACAACAGTTACTACCCCTGAGTAAGACAACATTACAACATTACTACCCCTGAGTAGATCACACTACAACAGTTACTACCCCTGAGTAAGACAACATTACAACAGTTACTACCCCTGAGTAAGACAACATTACAACAGTTACTACCCCTGAGTAAGACAACACTACAACAATTACTACCCCTGAGTAAGACAACACTACAACAATTACTACCCCTGAGTAACACTACAACAATTACTACCCCTGAGTAAGACAACACTACAACAATTACTACCCCTGAGTAAGACAACACTACAACAATTACTACCATTAAAATTCAAAATTAACAAGACCTTCACTCAAAACAAAATTACTGACAAATATGAAAATTTACCTTAACTGAAAAAAACATGAACAAATAAATCAAATGTACATTATTTTCATAATTTCCCTGTATAAAATTTTGCCCATCAAAAATAATTTCATTGCTTCTAGGCCAACACTGTCCACATAGTGTTTTAAGGTCAACTTGGCTATCTTCTGCACACTCTGACCTGACTATTATATATATAATTTTTTCAATCTTCTGCAGTGAATATTTTATAACAATGATAAACTACTGCTGCAATAATGACTCTCACATCTGATGGTGACAGTAATGATGGTGACTCATTAGTTATGGTGAGTAGTAATAATACAATGAACTAAAGAGTGAACACAACACCACAGTCAACCACAGTCACCTCCCTGATGTTACTGTGGTTTACAGCAGCTCTCACCACATCCAGGCCACTTTCCACCTCACCATAGACAAATTCCCACTGGTCAATATTTATATCATCCCTGGTGGTAATACAGAACTGGGAAGTTTGATGACTTTCCAATCCACAAAGTGACAAGAGAGCACCAGCTTTGCCTGACTGCCGGTACTGCTGATAGTAGAGGTTGGACAACAGTGGTGCTCCTCCCCGTCCATCATTATACTGGTAGTCTCCACCCCACACACACTCCCCCGGCTCACCCTTGAATACCACCCGCAGTAGTTTAGTGTTGAAGTAGGAGGGGCCTCGCTCTCCTGTGCACAACAACACAAACTGTCTGGCCAGCACAGTATCAGGACTCAGTCGAATATGGACCCGACCTCTGGTTGTGCCAGGCCATGCCAAATCAAGAAACGTCAGGATTGAGGAGTGGTCCAATGTCTTCACAATGTCGCTGTGCTGTACAAAAAAATAATTATCACCATTAAGTCAAATGTTAAAGCTTCATATAAATACTGAGTTACTGATCAGTCTGAATTCATACATTACTTTTTATTTTATTAATACATCAGCCATTTCCCACCAAGGGAAGATTATTATTATATTATAATCAAGGGGGAAGCGCTAAACCCGGAGGACTATACAGCACCTGGGGGGGGGGATGTGGAAGGCATTCAGGCTTAATTCGGGGAACTGGAGCACAGATCCAATTCCCTAAATCAAGAGCCCCTCACCAACATCAAGGAACCTTCCTTGAGGGGACCAAGGGAAGAAACACTATCATTTTGGAAATTTATCTGCGCCAATAAATTCCCACTGTCATGTTCGTATGTCTAATGCTGCTCTGTGGCAGGTTGTACATTAAAGCAATTACTACTTAAGGGCCTCCAGACTGAATTGTTCCTACTATGCATTCCCTTTTGCCCATTCTGTCCATTCCTTCCATTTCCTCAAATCTCCACCAGTTTTTGATAAGCAGAGCAGCTCCTCCTCCCTTTCTGCTCCCTCTAAATATCTTGGGGTCATGGTCAGAGGGATGGCAAGAGTCATATCATGCCCTTAGAGCCCACTAACATACTCTTAGTTGCACAAGTTAACTTTAAGATTTGTATATTATTGGCAGATTTAGGGCTTAAGAATGATTTAGGTAGGCTTGAACTGTTAGTAAATAATATTAGAATTAAAAATGTAGCCTTAGACATTAATATGTTACATTAGGTAATGAGATTAGACATGTAGTGATAGCTAGAAACCCCATCCTTGAACTAGGAGAGGAAGCAGGCTAGTACAGGAACAAGCTTCCTTCTAGTCAGAAGCACTAGAGGAGCTCAACTGGTCGGGATGCGGTCAACAAAATCCTTGTCTGGTGGCCAATGAGAAGAAAGGAGAGGCTCTGGATTTACACCAGCCGGGCACGTGGCTGAGTGCTTGCGTGCAGCCAGCAGTAACAGCCTGGTTGATCAGGCTCTGATCCACCAGGAGGCCTGGTCACAGACCGGGCTGCGGGGGCGTTGACCCCCGGAACTCTCTCCAGGCAAACTCAGTCTCTTCCCAGGCTCCCATATCAGAAGACAATTCCCTGCTTTCAACTTAGTAACAAGGTTGGCCAATGTTATTTTGGGGAACACAGGATAACTTAACTATGAGTTTTGTGTAGGCAATATGCCCACTCTGAGGTAATTGCGACCAGGACCGCTGAGTAACTATCCCTTGAATATTAGGTCAGAAGCTAATAACCTTTTGCACATAAGTATTAATTACGGAAACCCCAACGAATTCAGGCACCCTCATGGTGTATGCTGAGGTTACTCAACTTGCTAAATATATAAGACATATACTCATATTACTGTGCCTACTACATATACAGAACATTAACTCCACTGTAGATGAATGGTTCAGAGAACCGACAAGTTGATAAATTAGACACATGTGCAACACTTGGGTATCTTTATTGAGGAAACGTTTTGCCACACAGTGGCTTCATCAGTCCATACAAAGGAGAACACTGTAGAACAGGAGGAGTTTGAGGTAATCAGTCTCTCAGCCTTGAGTTAATGTGGTCAGTCCATCAGTCTTGAAAAGAATACAGCATATTTGCATAGAAGTAGATTATACACTGTAGGCAGGAGAGGTGCAGCAGTCGTAGGTGGTGTCACATTTGCTCAATGTGGAAGTAGGTCGTGCCCAAGGGTTAGGCAAGTGAAGAATTCCCTGTATTAAGATTCCAAGAAAGGAATGTAGATGAATGGTTCAGAGATCCGACAAGTTGATAATGTGACACCACCTACGATTGCTGCACCTCTTCTGCCTACGGTATATAAGCTACTTCTATGCATATATGCTGTATTCTTTTCAAGATTGATGGACTGACCACATCGACTCGAGGCTGAGGGACTGATTACCTCAAACTCCTCCTGTTCTTCAATGTTCTCCTTTGCATGGACTGACGAAGCCACTGGGCGACGAAACGTTTCCTCAATAAAGATACCTAAGTGTTGCATATGTGTCTAATTTACAAGCTCCACTGTAAACCCTCCCCTAAAACTACTCCTTGACAGTTACAACAGAATGCACAGTCACAATACAAGGCATAAGGCACTTTTCAACATCCCTCGAGTCAGTCTCTCCCTATGCAAGAACGTTATGCACATAAAGTGCCTGAAGATCTGGAACTCACTACCGGAACAGGTCAAGGATCCCCTGACAACTTATAAATTTAGAACTTAGCTAAAAAATCATCTGATCTCTCAATATTAACCAAATCAACCAAAACATCTGCTAATTAGTTTTATGTGACCTCCTGGCTTTTAATTCTGCCAATCCATAAAATATTACCACCTGAACCATTACTTGTAAGGTAGATTTTGTGTGCAATTTCAAGATTATTTTACCAAACCCAACTCCACCTTACTACTTCCCATCTGCATTAAGTTTAAATAAGATTGTAAAACAGTTAACCACTTCTTCTTGTCTAGTTTTAAGTATATTTACTATGTACTATTATCATATCTAGTTTTAATTTGTTACTATGTATTAGGATTAGTCTACCCAAAATGCCTGGGCATGATAGTGGCTATCTTTGTACTTAGCAAATATCTTTGTACTTAGCGAATCAAAATTGTAATTACACATTGTAACCTTAACAAAGAAATAAACTTTACTTACTTACTAACATTCCTTTGACTCATCTGAGTCTTCAACTTCCAATTGTTACCCCTTGTTTCTGTGTGCCATCTCCAGAACATCCTGTCTCTGTTCCTCTCAGTATTTTGTATGTTGTTATCATGTCTTCCCTAGCCCTCCTGTCCTCCAGTGTCATCAGGCTGATTTCCCTTAACCTTTCTTCGTAGGACATTCCCCTTAGCTCTGGAACTAGTCTTCTTGCAAACCTTTGCACTTTCTCTAATTTCTTGAAGTGCTTGACCAAGTGTGGGTTCCAAATTGGTGCTGCATACTCCAGTATGGGCCTGACGTACATGGTGGACAGAGTCTTGAACGATTCCTTACCGAGGTATCAGAATGCTATTTTCAGGTTTGCCAGGTGCCCATATGCTGCAGCAGTTATCTGGCAAATTGGTTTCAAAGATGGTCCGTATTTTTTTCCCCCCATGACTTTCTCCTTGAGTGGGGTTTGCGGTTTTTGGGTCCAAGACTAACTCTGTCTGCGGTCTTCTTTGCCCTTCCCCAATCTTCACGGCTCTGCTTTGGGGGGGATTAAAAATTCTAGGAGTCATTTTGTGGACAGTGTTCCACCTGCCCGGGTTCTTTGTAGTGCTCCCTGATCCTATTGATTTAACCCCTCATTAATTTCAAAACATCTGCAAACAAGGACATTTTGGGGTCTATCCCTTCCGTCACGTCATTACATATGCCAAAAATAGCACTGGTCCTAGGACGACCCTTGTGGAACCCCACTATTACAGGCACCCACTGTGTACCTCTACGTACCATGATTGCTGTTGCCTCCTGTCAGGTATTTCTGACCCTGCAGTGCCCCCCCTGTTATACACGCCCGATCCTCTAGCTTCTGCACTAATCTCTTGTGAAGGAACTCTTTTTGAAGGCCTTCTTGAGTCCAAAAAAGAAACAACCCACCCCTCCTCTTGTGCTATTTCTTTTACTTGTCAAAAACTCCGTAGGTTTGAAAACAAGGATTTGCCTTCAATAAATCCATGCTGGGTACATTATAATCTTTTTCCCTCCAGGGCTTCCACCACTCTCCCCTTAATCTTCTCCTAATTTGTTATATACTTCAGTGGCATGGTCTACAGTTAGTGCCCCGTTTCTGTCTCATTTGTTATAGATGGGGACTACATTTCTTTCATACCTAGGTAGTTGCCCAGTTTCAAGGGATTGCTGAAAAAATTGTGGTTAGTGGACACACCGTCTCTGCTCCCCTCTCTAAGGATTTATGGAGAGTGTCCGGTCCCCAGCCTTTGAGGTTTATCAAAATTCAATAGCAGTTTTTCACCTCCTCCCTAGTTTTTGTATTTCACCAACATTATTGGGATATCCCTGTTGGTGACCCTCTGATTCTGTTTTTTCTTCCCAGTTCCTTTTGTCTCCATGTAAATACTTCCCAAAAACCGTGTTGAGCTCCTCACATACTTTTGGTTGTTTCTTGTGGCTCCCACCTTTTTTCCTCAGCGATTACCTGGTCCTTGACTGTTGTCTTCCTCCTGATGTGGATATAAAACAGTTTCAGGTCAGACTTGACTTTCGATGCTATGTTGTATTCGTACTGCCAGTGGGCCTCCCTCCTTATCTGTGCACACTCGTTTCTGGCTCTTCGACTAATCTCTCTAATTTCCTGGGTCCTTTGCCTTCTGTACTTTTTCCATTCTCTAGCACACTTAGTTTTTGCCTCCCTATACCTTCAGGTAAACCAAAAGCTCGTTCTGATCTTCCCATTATTTCTGTTGCCTTTGGGAACAAACCTTTACTCTGCCTCCTTGCATTTTGTTGTTACGTAGTCCATCATTTCATTTACTGACTTTCCTACCAAGTCTCTTTCCCACTGAACCTCCTACAGGAAGTTCCTCATACCTCTATAGTCCCCCCTTCTTTAGTTTGACTTTTTCCTTTTTACCCCTGTTACCCTCTCCACTTGTAACTCTACTATGTATTCAAAGCTCAGAACCACGTGATCGCTAGCTCCAAGGGGCCTTTCATATGTGATGTCCTCAATGTCTGAGCTACTCAGGGTGAACACAAGGTCCAGTCTTGCTGGTTCATCCTGCCCTCTCTCTCTCTCTGACAATATACCTGACATGTTGGTGCATGAGGCTTTCCAGTACCACATCCATCATCTTGGCTCTCCATTTTTAGGGACCTCCATATGGCTCCAGGTTTTCACAATCTCCCTGTGTGTGAGAGAGAGAGAGAAGAGAGAGAGAGAGAGAGAGAGAGGAGAGAGAGAGAGAGAGGGGAAAGAGAGAGAGAGAAAGAGAGAAAAGAGA